AGCACATCCTGAAGGTTTGAGAGAAAAATATTTTTATTATCATGAGATGAAAAATTTATAGATCCTCATGAGAAACAGCAATAAAAAAAGGCCAAGAAGTAGTGCCACTGAATTATGCAACATTATGACACTCGTGAGGAAAGTTTTTTATGTCTTTTTACCTAACATACTCTTTCCATTTTCAGTTATTGCACATAGGGAATGTTGAATCGATAAATTTTGTACTTTCTTATCACTTCCCCATCTTAAAACCAGTAGTTAAGTCATGTAAAGCAACAACCGTAATAGATAGAAATGATAAATTTATGATAAATAAAGAAACTTCTTTTTATTGTGGGTAGACAGGCAATGCCAGATAAGGATAGTTTGATGACTCTGATATTATTTTATTTTTATGGCCAAACATGACATAGCTTTAAGTCATTGAAGCATGTAACTTTTAATTTGGAAGAATTTTGATGGCCTCATTTTGTCTGTTATCTCGACCTTCAAGTTGTTTTTCTTAAGATAAGTTTGCCGGGAAAGAAATTGTGCCGACTGGATTGTATGTCATACGTGAAGGTTAAACATCTAGCACAGCTTGAAGACTGCTAATATTTTAAGTATTTCTATAGTTTGAGAAGCTAAAGCAACTCTTGAATATGCGTTTCAGACCTACAGCAGCACAAAAACGCCTTACTAGCTAACCATAAACCCAAAAACAGAACTTATAACAGATCAGGAACCTCAGAACGAATATTTATTTATCCGAGGGCGTTGAGAAAAGGAATGTGAAGCAAGAATAACTTTTTCAACTCTTGTGTATAATTATGGACATATTAACAAGTCCACAGACACACTCAACAAACTTATGTGAACTTTTCTTGTTCCTCTCACTTGTCTAATGTGTGTTCTTTTGGGAATAACTTTTTCGTACCTAAATAAAATTGCAAGCATTATTGTTGAACTTATGCATGAAGTGTGTTTGTGCCATCCATGTTAACAACCTCTTAACTTATAATTTTCTACATTACAAGTACGAGACTCTAAGTAAGAGGATTCAAAAGGGAGCCAAATGCCAAACCCTTGATATTTTCAATGTAGTAAAGAATCCATTATATCTTTTGCAGGAAATATATATTGTTATTATGATGCAAGTGATCATAAACACAGAATTAACATTTTATTGCCCTTTACATTCATGGGTGAACCCGAACAACTTGTAAATGTTGAGGAAAACATTCGGATTAGGAAATAAAATTTTATGTCAATTTTGCAAAAAAATAAAAAAAAGTTTCGCTTTATATTTTTTTGATGATGATGATGATGATGATGGATGTCCCCATCCCTTCCCATTCCCATTCCCTCTAGAAAGTTTGAGATGTTTATCTGGGTCTGCTGAAACTTAGTGCCGCGGTACACTATGACGAAAACTTCATAATAGTTCAAATTTTTTGACTAAGACCAAATTTGAGAAGGTCTGAAAAAAAGGTTGACAACCACTGGAATAGATAAATCAAGGTTGACAGCTCTTCATGCTCTATTTATTCTAGCACTAATTTTTAAGGTCTTCATCGAGCTGTATAATACAATTAGTTTATTCTAAGCTACACGCTACGACCTCTCTCATTATCGCGCGACAAAAAACAAAATTTATCGTTTTCTCATTTCAATTTCATAGCTTGTTAAAAATTTTTATTGGCAATGACTGGAGGTGTCCTAATAATTTTTATAGCATGCTTATTTCTGACAATAGCATTTATCAAATTTTAAAAAGAGCTGTCAATTAATTTAATGGAATATCAATGCGTATTTAGTTTCGTTAAGTATGTGCCATTTTTTAATTGACCCCCCAAGGCAAGCCTTCATAAGTTGTTCCGTGTGTGCCAAAAAACAAAAATTGCGAGTTAAGTCAAAAGAAGAACAGAAAAGAAATTTATCTCATTAACATTTATGAAAATGGAGGAAGAAGAGAAGAAAATTCTCAACAAAAATAGACTTTGTGCAACTTCCAAATACCACAGCAGCTATACACAATAATAATAATGAAAATGCTGAAAATTATTTTGTTTGCGGCAACCACTGAGTGAGGAAAAGAGAAAGAATTAAATGATTTTCTTTTTGTTGATATTTGACCTACATTAGGCTGATAAAATGTATGAAACTAGTGAAATGTTTATTGGATTGTTCATAAATGACGTTAATTAGAGTTTGCGGGTGTTGAACTGTGTACCAAATCTATGCCAAAGGAGTAGACAGGAGAGTTTCGAGGAGTTCGAACTTATCCAGCGAAATTTTAATTTATTTGAAGCTTCACAAAGCTACAGACTCCACTTCAAAAGCTAGAAGTCATTCATGGACTTAGCTATTTGGTTCTTCTTACACATTTAGTGACAAAAATCTCGTTTTTCGATGAACATCATTTACGAATTGCTCTTAATATATTTTTGACTGCCTTAATACCTGGCGTAGTCATTATAGAACGATTCCCTCAAAAAGTATTGCCAAAATATTTTAAAATAATTGAAAATCATGCATGAAAATGTAGGTACTTTTTAATTTTACTTTTCCATGAACAGTAAGCTCCAACGGCACGATAAAACATAGCCAATAGAAGTAAAATTTGTCATTCGTGCAAAAATTATTCATTGAAATTCCATGTAAAAACTCATTTCAACCCCGAACCGACAACAACAGCTTTACGATGTAGACAAACAAACGTTTTGTTATCCATATTGCAAAAAAACTTGAGGAATTCCTTTACCTTTATTTTCCCTTATCTAAAATCAAACAATATCAAGCAACAGAAAATAATAGCAATAATAACAATCATAATTTAATATTTTGCATGCTTTGGAATGTATGGAAAAATAAAGGAATCGAAAATTATTATGGAATGTAAACACTCCTCGAGCCAAAATGTAAAGAACTATCATTTCCCTTTCGATTCTATGAAAGCACGAATGCCGCAATATCAACAAAAAAGAGGAAGAAGAAGAACAGAACATAAAAAAAATGTACAATATTGAAATTGAATAGAAGTAGATAGATATAATAAAATGCTGAATGAATTTTGTTCGTTTCCATCGCATCGCATCATGAAAATGTTATTTTACGATTGTTGTGTCTTCTCTTGCCATGCGATGGTGTTATCTTAAAAACGAAAAATTATTAAGGCACATCTGAAAAGTGCAGAGGCGTAATCAAATGGACAGATGTATACTTGGATAGACAACACATTCAACGATTTATATTCTGTATGGTGACTATAGCGATTACGCCTCCGAAAACAAAAATGACACATAGCTTGAATGGACTGGCTGCTGTATCTGTGCTTCTCTTTTTTTGAAAACAATTGAAGCTCTTCCGGTAACGCTGTCTTTTGTTTGATTCTGAATGATGTCTAATGTAATGGAAGCTTTATCTAATACTGCAAAACTTAAAAATGTCCAAGCTATGCTGTGTGACAGTCTAGTGCTTCACTGAATTATTTCAGATCCATAAATCATATCCTAAAACCTCAAAAATGACACGATTATGGTTCAGACTAGAAAAGATCGGTCATTGCTGTGAAACATTAAAGTTTGACCAGCACAGTCATAGCAGATGTTCTATTGTAATGACTACTGACTGTTGGTAGGGCAGGTGTATAGCCAAACGTTTGGAATGTCAAAGTTGATACCTCAATAGACATGTTATTGGTCTCGAATTCAATGACAGTACAGAACTGTAGCTATAGACTCAATGAAGGGTCCTAAAATTGGTATGATTTGACAGACGTCATTCCTGAATAACTCCTCATTAAAACCCATAAAAATAAAAGCTTTAAAAAAATTCATATCCAATTTAATTCAGTCTAGCTTAAAAGTTGAATAATTTAACAATTAAAAAAGGTTTAACGACAGACAGCATTTTTAAGGTAATTCCCACGTATTAGCAGAAGGATAATAATAATAATTCAATTCATCTAAACATCCTTCGTAATTAATTATCTACTTATTTATGAGACACATGTGTTTGCATATTAAATTAATTAGAGTGATTATGGGATGAGCAGCCAATAAAAAGCACAGAAACAAAATTAAATAAGTGAAATTCAACAATTCATAGGTGAGGCATGAAGCTCCAAAAAATATGTTTATGACCTCTCTTTCACGCATCATGAACTTATAAATAAGCTATAGCATGCAAATGATGTTCGCATTATTTCGTAATAACATAATAGGAAAGGTAAGTATATAAAATGGAATCTGGAACATACAAGTTAACATCCAGTCTACATTTATTTTTCACACATTACTGATTCCTATTTTTTGTTGGATCTGTGGGATGTGAAATGTTTTTCTTAGCATCAGCAATAAGCTATCATCAGATCAGACAAGTAGAAATTTATTTTGTTTATCTGCCAGGCATGGTCTAATGAATTTTTGCAAGAAAAAGCAAATTCTCCCGTTTATTTAAGTTTGAATCTCTTCTTTCGCTTTTCATCATCATCGAAATCGTGCTTCAGAATTAAATAAAAATGAAATAAATGTGAAGGAACTGAAAAACTGGTTCATGAAATCTTTTTATTCGTTTTTTGAACAATATAGAGCAGAAATGTGTTTAGCATCTGATTGAATGAAAATGTAAATTGGAACGAATCTAGAATTTAATAATCTCTCTTATGCTAGATGCTGAATAATTTACCGTTCTTATTCAGTCTAGACAAAATCAATAAAATAATTGGAACTTAATTTAATTTTTGTCAACCCATCAAAGTGACTTTTTCAATCAATTATCTATTGCACTTTGCCTGCTCTGCTCTGCCTGCCTGTGCCTTGATAAAATTTGATTTTCATTTCAAATTATTGTACAATTTTTCTTATCGACGAGACATTTTTAATGGTTTTTAATTTTTATTTCTTTTTTGCTTGTTGTGTTATCCATTCGATTATTCAACAGTAGGTAAGTAGATTTGAGACACATACAGACGACGACTAGCTTAAGAGTAACGGGTTCTTTAATAAGTTTTCTCTTACCTTTACCTTTTCTCTTTTATTTAGGTAAAAAAATTTGATGAAATTTTTACTTTTTTAACTTTCAGGTGTGAGGAATGATGACGATATATCCAATGAGTAATAATTGTTTCTTTTACAAATGTGTTAAGTAAAATGCACTTGAATAAATAAAATTTAATATATAAAAGATAAAACAGCCACTTATTTACTTTTAAAATACAAAAAAAAAAGACTTTTTAAGAGAAATTTTCCTTTTCACTTTTCTTGTTTTTCCTTTTTTCCACAAATTTTCAATTAATTTTCACGCATTACTTTTAGCTTTTAAATGCTCATTATAAATTGCATCACTATTAAGGTATTAATTATAGTGCAAATACACTCTTCGCAATGAAAACTTATTTTTTTTTCCGTCTCGTACTGCACAATTTGAAATCTCTTATTCGAATGAATGAAATATACTGGATATATAGGCAGGCGCATGAAAGTCTTATTGGATTGTAGAGGAACTGCCAATTGGACTGTAAAGTGTAGGAAACGTTTGAATGTTTTTTCGTTCGTTAAATGATTTTTAAAAGCAAAAACTTTAATTACCAAATTTTATCGATCCACATGTGGCTTAATAAATTATATCTATCCATTAACAATTATGCTAATGTCAAATCATAAATTAAATTCAAAACTATAAACTATCTACGTCATTTATGGAGCTAAGGGATTATTGTTTACATTTCTCCTAGCATTAACATATTAAAAATTAATATCAGTCGAAAAGAAACACAAACCCATCGATAGAAACGATAATTTTATGTATGGTCTTATTTAGCACATTTGAAACGAAATGTTGTTCAGTTTGTTTTAAGCAATCGCGTGGTTAACAAGTGGAGAAAAGTATCAAAAAGAAGAGAGTTTTAAGTTGGAATTTTAATATTGCGACACAATTTTATAGACAGTGATAACAGAAACAGCTTACTGGAACATTGTGAAACATGGATGATGAAAAATTTGTTGATATAAACAGCAATTGTGACGCTGGTGATGAACGTTTTGTGGAATTACGAGGTAAAGTTTTGCTAATTGGATCTTTTTGCATAAACTTTTATTGATTTTTTTTGTTCCTGCATTTGTCCCAAAAGACTTTTTTATGAAGGAGTTTTGTAAGCGACCTGAATTTTTCGTAAAAGTTCCAGGACGTGTAAATCTGATTGGTGAACATGTCGATTATTCTGGATTTCCAGTCTTGCCAATGGTTTGTAGACACAAAAAAAAGTATTTATCCCTGTTATCTATAAAAATGTACTTCGTAGGCAATTTCTCAAAACATTCTGTGTGCTGTATGTCAAAATGATGACGACATCATTCAATTAAAAAACATTCAGTCTAAATACAAGGGATTTAAATGTAGTATTAATCATATCAAGATTGATGTTCCAGCAAAAGGAACATATCCTGCTTGGCATAACTATTTCTTGTGTGGAATACAGGGAATCATTGAATATCTCCAGAAAATTGGAGAAACACCAAGGAAGGGATTCTCGGTTGCTGTTAGTGGAAATATTCCACCGGCATCTGGTTTAAGCAGTTCCTCTGCACTTGTTTGCTCAGCAACTTTGACCACGGCTTTTATAAATGACGTGCCATTAAATAAACAGTTACTTGCTACGCTTTCAGCATCTTGTGAACGATATATTGGGTATGTCTTTAATTTGCATAATTTCACCGTTATTTAATTTTTGAAAATTTTTAAAGCACGCAAGGTGGTGGCATGGATCAAGCTATAGCATTCTTAGCTAAAAAAGGATGTGCTCAATATATTGAATTTAATCCAGTAAGAGCAACGCCAGTAAAATTACCAGAAGATTCAGTCTTTGTCATAGCTAATTCCTTATCGGAAGCAAATAAGGCAGCAACAAGTGATTTCAATCAACGAGTTGTAGAGTGTAAAATAGCCACAAAACTTCTAGCTAAGCTGACAGACCGTCCATGGCAAGATGTTGAAAAAATGATTCAATTACAGTCAGAAATACTCGATGTTGAGTATGAAGAATTTGAGAATCTTGTAAAGAAGCATTTAACTAAGGATGTATACACAAAGGCAGAATTAATGGATATTTTCCATCTCAAAGAGCACGAATTTAATGAGAAAATGCTCACAACAAACACGAAAGATGCAAAGGAATTTAAACTTCGCCAGCGAGCTCTTCACGTTATTCAAGGTACATTTATATAATCACTTTATCAGCCGTTGCTCTATTTTAATCCTCTTATCTATAAAAACTTTAATTAGAGTGCATTCGTGTTGATCACTTCTGTAAAATTGCTAATCAAACTGACGAAGACGATGAAGAAGACGCAATTGACCAATTATCAGAACTACTTACTAAGTCACATAATAGCTTAAAGACGCTTTATGAATGCAGCCATCCAAATCTTGATGAACTTGTCAATATTTCCAAATCATTCGGTGTTGGAGCTCGTTTGACAGGTACCTTTTATGCCTTTATATAATCCATTAATAATAAAATTTTACTGCCAAATTATAGGCGCTGGATGGGGTGGATGCATTGTTGGATTAACAGACTCTATATCAACATGTGATAAATATATTGCAACTTTAAGTGATTCTTATTATGATAAAATACCGCATAGTAAAAATTTTGATCTCAACGAAGTCGTTTTCGCTACGGAACCACAAAACGGAGCTGAAATTTTCATCGCTGAATTTTCTTAAACTTAAAGTTTGCCGACTTTTAGACAATTAAGGTTTTTAATCTAGCGTCATCGTTTTAATAATAAGATAATTTTTAACATAGCAAAAAAAATTTTTGAAGTAGCGTAGAGTGTCCAGCAGCTGTGCTGTTGATTTTGGAGCTTTATTTTAACGACTTTGAAATTATCAAGCTTCTACCAAAGAGGACCAAACCATAAAAAACAGGATCAAGACCATAAAACTATGAATTCTGATATCAACCAGCACTTTAGGTCCACAAAACGTACAAATATCGATTCTGGACACTCTGTTTAAATAGATCAGTTTAATGATCCGAAATTGCCAGTTTACCAATAGAATTGAGTAATTTATTCCGCACAAAAAAAGTCATTGATGTAGTATTTTTGAGCTATGAATGTTCACGTTCCATGTAGTTATTCTAACGATTTTAATTCCTTTCGATAAGACTTTCTATAAAATTAACTTTTATATCTTGACGAAATTTTCAGTCGATTTTCTTACTTATAGTATAATTAACAACTATTTTATAAGGTTTTTAAGACCAAAATTTTTTCACTTTTTGAGACTTGTCTTCTAATCTTAACTTAAAGTTTTTTAAAAGTTAAAAAAAGATGCTATGATACAAAAATATTTATTAAGGATGCATGTTTTCTTCTTTTACATTTACTTGATATGCATAAATATTTGAGCAAAATAAATATTAAATAATAATAAAAAATTCAACTTTGGAACCAAACATAATAATGTTTTTAACTTCCACGCAAAAGTTTCACAAAAAACACACTTTCTTTAATACAGCCTGAAGGACTCATTTTCAAAAATCTCAAAGGGTACCAAAATGTGTGTATTAGAAGGCCGGATTTTTCTGTACATAAACTTCTACATTTGGACATCATCTATGCCTTCAAAAAGCCAAAAAAAGTCTTTTTTGGGTCAACAATTTTGGTGCTCAGGATCACAGCCGAGCCAAAAGGGTCTCGGAAAATAATTCTTTTGCCATTTGATCACACAACATAAGCAGTTAGGAGGATCGAAAGTCATTTTTCGAAATTCTCAAATTTTCAGTAGTTTTTAAGCTGTCAAAGTTGGAAAATCTAGGAAAAATGGTCATTTTCTTAAAATTCTTGCGGCACCCGCTTTTTTTTTAAACTAGATATTATATTGAATTCTTTCTTATAGTCCTCAGCAAGAGCTTTAAAAAAATACCCCATATGACTATATTTTGACTTTACCATGACTTGCTATAGCCTCTTGAAAATCGAAAAAGACGATTTTATATCTATATTAGCATTCTTTATCATTTATAATACCTAGATATGGTTTAAAATGCAATTTAAAGTATTTTTGGTTTCGATCATAGTAGGCTATTTTCAAAAAAAATACCGATTTTATATCTTTATTAGCATTCTATATCATTTATAATACCTAGATATGGTTTAAAATGCAATTTAAAGCATTTTTGGTTTCGATCATAGTAGGCTATTTTCAAAAAAAATATCGATTTTATATCTATATTAGCATTCTTTATCATTAATAATACCTAGATATGTTTTAAAATGCAATTTAAAGCATTTTTGGTTTCGATCATAGTAGGCTATTTTCAAAAAAAATACCGATTTTATATCTTTATTAGCATTCTATATCATTTATAATACCTAGATATGGTTTAAAATGCAATTTAAAGCATTTTTGGTTTCGATCATAGTAGGCTATTTTCAAAAAAAATACCGATTTTATATCTTTATTAGCATTCTATATCATTTATAATACCTAGATATGGTTTAAAATGCAATTTAAAGCATTTTTGGTTTCGATCATAGTAGGCTATTTTCAAAAAAAATACCAATTTTATATCTTTATTAGCATTCTATATCATTTATAATACCTAGATATGGTTTAAAATGCAATTTAAAGCATTTTTGGTTTCGATCATAGTAGGCTATTTTCAAAAAAAATATCGATTTTATATCTATATTAGCATTCTTTATCATTTATAATACCTAGATATGTTTTAACGTGGATTTTGAAAATAAAACTTAAAATATCAGAAGGTTTAATTTTTTTTGAAGTTCTCGAGATAATAACATAGCTTTTGCAAATGAAAAAAAAATTCTAAAGATATTAGAGTTTTAATATTTAATTATATTTTCCTGACTACTTTACTTAAAATTCAGTTTGAGATGTTTGTAACTTTTCAATGTCTGTGAAAGGATACTTTTGATGGGAGTCTTAGATGTAGGAAGGGGAGTGGACGAGTTGTGCTCCCATCAAAAGTATCCTTTCACAGACATTGAAAGCATCTGTTAACGACTTAAAGATTTGATATTTTATTAGATTTCTCATCTTAAAAAAAATTGACGAAACACATAGTACTTTAAGATAATATTCTTATTTGGCAACTTTTTTGTTATCTAATGTAAGTCAAGCGTGGAAGTTCGTTGCTTTCTACGTAAATCGTGTTTTTAAGTTATTTATTCCAAAAATAATACTTTAAGGTCGTTATAATAAAAAACGTATTTCAAAATTTTGAATTATTTAAAATGTCGTTCAGTAATCCACACTTTGTTTCAGTTCAGTTCAAAAAACCGTAAAAATTTTGAAATTTTCAGCAAACTAGAAACATTTGAATCTACAATATTACACAGCCACAGCTATTCTATCGATAAATTGTATGTCCTTAGCTTCTAATTTACTAGAAACATGACAAATGTGACCACAAAATTTTGTATTAATATATTAAATCCAATAAAACATAATTTATTCCTTTATAAGCCACTTTCATAATCGTGTTTATTGTGGGACTTATACAATAAATTATCACAAGTTATCGGAACGACTTATGAATTTTGAATAAGGGCAAGTAAGTTATGTATAAAATGTCTTTAATATTATGAGGAACATTACCGAGACATTAGGTGATCAATTATTGCTAATATTCACGCATAAAATGTAGGGGAAGCATGATATCTAATTATTAGGTTTCGTGGATTCTTATTCAATGGAAATTATCGGAGATACAGCTGTAAAAAGAACGTGAAATCGTCATTTTGTTAAACACCATTAATTTGAAATTTAGCGGTTTTTTTGAGTTTTGAATTTTAACGATTATTTTGAATTTGAATGAACTGAACTGAATTTGAATATAAACTTACTGAAGAACGTCTTAAAAATAAATCAACGGATTAAAAGTTAATCCAAAGTTCTAAGTAGCGATTTCATTCAAAAATTAATAGAATTTCCACATTGTACCTTTATGCATAATACCTTACAAAGGATTAATGCAATAATAATTCCTTTGATCTTCCATTAAATGCAAAACAACGCTAATGCTCGAGGAAAAACTTGAACAAGTGCTTTATTTGTGCTCTAAATTCCTTCTAAGCTAGTTCCTTCTACAGTTGCTGATAAATGCATTAAAACTGAATAAATATTCTTGACATAAAAATAAGTCATTGAGAAAATATTTTATATCCGATTTACGTTTTTATACAAATCGATATGGATGTGCAGCTCAGTTTTAAATCGTTATTATAAAATAATCTACAACGTTGTACTGATTTAATCGGATGAATCGGAATTGAGTTCTTAATATCCTTTTAAAATTGAATTTTTAACATAGCAATTATAATTAATTTCTAGTGAATTTATCATTTTGGTCTGCACAGCACTTTACATATTTATTTCCTGAATGAGCAAGTAATTATTAGTGTGATTCATAATTTATTTTGGTTTATGGTAGGAGAAATTAATAACTATTGATTTTACATCAAAAATAAGTAAGGAACGGCAGTAAATTTCTTTTTGGGTGATAGTTTAAGAGTTTAAGATTTAAATGTTCAACCGTTTTTTGAAATTTGAAAATATTAACGGGTTGTAGAACTTTTGAATGAACTGAAATGAAATGAAATTTGGGTTGCTGAACGATTTTCAAAAAAATTTTAACGGTTTTTTTATTTAAATTTTTTCAATTCCAGCCAAGCTTTAACTTCATTGTCCACATTTCTAGTCCAAAATCACGCATAATTTTAAACCACCATGTAAATTGAAAAATTAAACATTTATTAATGATTCGTAATATTCACAACATGTCCATCCATTAATAATTTTAGGTTTTTAAATAAATTAAGTGAAAAATGTCCCCAAAACGGAATATTTTTCATGAAAGTAATTTAACACATTTCACAGTAAATTAAGCATCATTCATCCTTTGTGACTTTGTCATCCTTATAAATTTTTCATTTTTATATGAATTAAGAAAGTAATTTAATGACATTCATCCGGAAAAAAGCATGCAAAATGGGATGTGCCGTAGAGGAAAAACTTTGCATTATTAAATTGTATTTCAATGTTGAGAGAGAAAAACTTCTTGTGAAGAACTTTACGTTCACCACATTATCCTGGCATCCTTTTTCTGTGTGAGTAGCTTTAATTAATAGCAAACAAGTCACTTTCTACTGGGTTTTAACCACTTATTCAGCACATTTTTGAGACTACCTAGCCATTATGAGTTGATGTGTCTTTATTATGACCGTAAAAGTCGGTTCCAGTGTAGCTTTCAGGATATAATGACTTTATAAATTAATTTCAGAACGGTACAAATGTTTTTGATTATAGTTGCTATTGTAAGGTTTTAAAAAATTATTGTAAACATTTGTAGGGTTTTGGTATTTGAATTTTCAAAAAACCGTTAAATTTGAAAAGCGCTTTTACCTGAAATTCTGCACATAAAGGGATAATGTGCATTAAAAATCTTAATTTGCACGTCCGAACCATCTTAAAGCTCTATTATCCTTTTGATTGCACAGACACAGACACAGAGGAATTGTATATAGGAAGGTATAGTATCAAATAATGTAAATATTTATAGCTCTAAGCATCTATCCATTTGACATTTTATTTGAATTTATTGCCTTTAGTTATCTTTACATTGTAATGTACTTATTTTATTGATTTCGTAAAGGATGTATAGACATAAAAAAGATTTTCTTTTTGTCATGTTTGTCTCAATAGTACGTGAACTGTATTCAATCATCAATGAATGTTGGATGTGGAAGCATGTTTGAGACAATCATGTCTTTTTTTGTTTACCTAAATGAGGAGAATTACTCATTGACATAAAACGACCTGTGGCTTCAAAATGACATTTATGTCTTGTACTTTTGCTTTATTTCCTAACAAATATGAGTTTTAAGCCAATCTGTAAAAATACGTAAAGGGAATACGTTAGAAATTGGAATGATTTTGTAGTAAATATTAAATGTGAATTGATTCAGGGATTGAAAATAGAAAGCAGTGCAGATGAGCTTCTTAACGGGTTTTTCAAATTCAAATTTTAACGGTCTTTTAAAATTCAAATGTTAACAAGAAAGTGATTTTTTTTAAAAAAAAGTACGTTAAAAACCAGTCAAACTGAACATTAAATCCACACAATCCCTGAATTATATCAAGACTTTAAATGCTCATGCAACTCACCTCAAAAGTATTAAATATTTATAGCAAGTTAAAACTTTTCTTTCTATACCTTCCAAATATTACTTATTTTTCAATTTCTCATTCTAGCTTTCAAGATTTGCAATACGAAATATAATAAAACTTGTGGCTTAGTTATAAAGGAACATTATAGAAATATATGCATAAGTATAAAAAATATGATCAAAGGAACTATCAAAAATAAAATATTAAAAAATTCATCTTCGTTGATAATATCCATGTTATAGCTAATAAATCAAACTTGCTGTTCTTCAAAAATTATTTCTAGAAATATATATGTACGTATGTATATGCTGGATTGAAGTAACTGTCAATATGAAAACGTTTTAAATATAGAATTAAATCTTTCATAAAGAAAACTGTCCTTGTAATGCAGCTAAACTAATCACAGAACTAAGCGCGATCGTGATTTCGATAAACGATTTGATGAACGTCCATCGCCTGTCCAACTTTTCGATTTAGCACGGAAATGCTTATATTCATTGCTATAATTATTATCCAACATTGGACGATATGATTCTGGATCACAAAGATCGCTGTTATTTTGAAAGAATTCCTTATATCCTCCGTGCAATAAGTAAACTTCTGGATATTGCAGTGTTGGATATGGACTCGACATACGATCATGGTTTCTTAAGAAACGCGATAATTTTGGTCCTCGTTCAGATGAGAATTCACAGTGAAAAATGAGAATGTTTCGATTATGACCATCAACATTTGGAACTTCCGGTGCTTTTTTATTGATTAATTCTTCAATAATTTGATCCTGTGTGAATAAGTTAATTGCACCATGTATATGACCTCCTTCATACTCATATGGATAACGGCAATCGATAATTTTGAAAGATGAAACACAATCATCATATTCGCCCAACAATAAGCTTCGCATTGTGTCAGCAGAAATTGATCTGAGATCTTTATGACGTCCTTCGATGAATGGCAAGCAGAACTTTTTGCTAAAATCTCCAATTAAGTCAGTATCCTCTGTAGAGCGTGTTAATGCGTCCATAATTGTGGCTGCATCATTCATCGACACTGTTTTCCTTAAAGGCGGACGCTTCATTTGCAATGGAATAATTATTGATGACATTAAGTTATCCTTTTCACCTTTATGCCTCTTACTTTGTGACGAATTTGCTATTATTGGTGGTTCCGGGCGTTTAAATGCACCAGCTGTGCATCGATTACTTCCAAATGATGAAACATTCTCATTTATTGTTGCCAAGCATTGACGATCAGGTGCTGCAAATAATGATGTAAAACGATTAAGTTTTGGCATGACAAACGAGTCATTTTCTGTTGATTTATCCATTTCAGAGCACTTTTTGTCTCCGGGTGATTTTGAGTGTTTCACATCCTTGCACAACAAAGAGCTCAAATCACTTGGCATTTGTGTTTCTTCATCTAAATTTTCCATTTCCATTAATTCTAAATATTCATCTTCCATCTCGTTAGATTCATTTGATCCTGATGAAATGCTGTCATAAACTTTAAATCCATTACCTAAACGACTGCTTCCAGTTGACATTACTGTATATTTTGAGGGTGTTCGATGGGCACTTTCTGATGATGAATCAGATTTTTTCGGGCTGTTTGGCTCAACCAATGTCAATAAAGGTGCCGTTTCTTGTACTCTTATTTTATCCTGTTCATTCAACGATGATATATTTTCACCATTCAATTGAACACCATAGAAAGGACGATTTAATGGATAGAATGACATGTCATCTTCATCATCATCCTCATCATTTTGTAAATCAGATTTCAAATCGAAATTAATATTTTGTGGTGAGATGAGCGTTCGTCGACTTGAATTTCGTGTAATTGGTGAATTTTCAACTGAAGTTATGATTTGGGAAATTAAATTATTTTTGTCAATTATTATTTTGTCATTAATCATATTCTTTAATGCCGTATTATCATCATTATTGTTTGATCCACACATTTCCGTTGTCATTTGATGTCTAGGAGTAGCAATTTTGGAGATTCCTAATCGAAATGCTAGATTGGACATTGGAGACTGGAATTAAGGAAAAATCATTAATTAAAGTTATGTTAAGCATATGAATAGCTTTACATCTATTGGATATTCGCTTGTTTCGCTGATTTCTTTATTAATCTTCATAATTATTGCGCCTTTTTGCTCTTGATTTTTTTCTTCATCAAAATTCATGTTTGCTGCAATTTCGTTATTTTCTGTCATATCTCGATGAAATTCTTGCTTATCTACTTTGTCACACTGCTTAGTCATCACTTCTGATTGAAGTAAGATCCTTAAATCGACTTTTTAACTAATAATTCAAGAATCAAGAACAATTTTCTTTACTGAGAATCACGGCATGTAAATATTGAAAAGAACTTTTCTTCTTCCGAAACTATTAAATACGTTAAAATTTGTAAACAAATTGGAGGGAAAATCTCATAGAAAATTGTAGGTAACGGTCTGCAAATATTTAAAGTTGTGCAAGGTTTTGACAATAAACAATGAACTTTCTTTTGCTGTGTCAGTTGGGGGTGGGTGTCAGGTGGGGGATGGGGACAAGGTAAGGGATGGGGACAAGGTGGGTGTCGATATATTTTGTGAAGCCGTATGAAGCCAATGATTTGAGGGGTGCTGACAAGGTTGGTGTTAGTTGTGGGGGGAGTGACAAAGTGGGTGTCAGGTGGGGATTGGTGGCAAGGGGGGTGTCAGGTATATTTTATGAAGCAAATGATGTTAGGGGTGCTGACAAGGTGGGTAGAGGGGGGGGGGTAAGGGGAGGGGGTTTGTGGGAAAAGTTTGGTGTCAGGAATATTTTGTGAAGTCATATAAAATTTTGTGAAGCCATGTGAAGTTTTGTGAAGCCATGCGAAGCTTTGTGAAAAGACATTGTGGGTTTCGGGGGAATTAAAAATTTAGTGGGATTAAGGGGGTCCGAGTTTGCGGGGGTTTGTGAAGACATTTATAAAATTTTTGTTGGATTAAGTCCGAGTTTGAGGAGGTTTGTGAAGCCATGTGAAGTTTTGTGAAGCTATTTATAAAGTTTTTGCGGGATTAAGGAAGTCCGAGTTTGAGGGAGTTTGTGAAGCCATTTATAAAGTTTTAGTGGGATTAAGGGGGTTCGAGTTCGAGGGGGTATGTGAAGCCCTGTGAAGTTTTGTGAAGCCATTTATAAAAATTATTGAGGGATTAAGGGGGTCCGAGTTCCAAGGGGTTTGTGAGGCCATGTGAAGTTTTGTGGTAGGATTGACCTTAAAAACATTATGGTTATTTGCGTCTTACAGTTATTTACATAATAGTTATCAAATTTTAACCTTGATAAGAGGCGCCACGGGCGCCTCCGGATAGCCTAGTTTTTAAATATTTTGTATCCGTTGATGTTTTTTGTGTTAATTCCCGTTACCTAATGTTATTTGAGAACTTCATTAAAGGTCATTCATTATCTTGCCTATCATATAGGAAAGACGGGTCTGAGATCTCGTGGCACCTCAAATATCAAAGAAAAATTTTAAATGCACGATTTAAAACAAAAATTGGGAACTTAAAAATCCCATATCAGCTGGTAACGCCATTACAAAGCAATAATTATTTTGTCGTGTGTTTACCGAAATATATCAGCCAGAAAGCAAACCTTTGATAATCAATCTTGTAATTACGACATGTGATAAGACCATTTATTACGTTCAATAGTAGCGAAACGTGAGCACTCAGCAATTTTATCTCACAAGTCATTTTAGTTTAATTTTGTATTTCGATGAATTGAAACATGAGAATTATACTTCTATTATTTACTGTTATAATTAGTTGTAATAAATTAAGCACTGCTGAAATAAATGATGTAAAATGTGATGCACAACTAGAATATTTTAATGAGGCGTTATCAAAACGCGAAAGGTGGTCAATTGATTGTGAGTCATGCTATACACGCGTGAATAAAATATTGATTTAAAATTTTATGTCGTTGCTTTAGTGCTGGATTCATGGTCAAAGTTCCAATCAGGTGTGTCGTCCGGAAATTTTGTAGATTTAGGTCATTTTGATCAATGTACACGGTTCGTCCACAACTCGAAAGACTCAAATATCGATGTTATTAAAGGACAACATTGCATGATTTATTATCGAGCTACAGCAAATGCATCAACTCATGAAAATGATGGAATATTTGATTGGCGAGAAATGTAAGTCATCCACGAAGTCCTTCAAAAGTATTGATCATAAATTTGCAAAATATTTCAGTGGATCTGCATTGCGTGAGAGAAATTTGAGATTAGGAGGTGCTGTCTGCATGCCAGCATCATGTTCAACGACTAAAATAAGACAATTTGTTAACGAGACAGTTCTTGCATCTGCTGATTTGGTTATCACAAACGATTACGATCAATCAATGTTCTGCAGTACAAATGAGCCAATTCCATTTGAAACTATTGACATTGTTGCTATGTATGTATGAGATATATCCTTGCCTCAACCACAGATAAGTCAGAAAAGGATTTAAAAATCATTTTTTTATTTGACAGAATAATTGCATCGATTTTCGTTCTGTTACTGATATCAAGCACGACATATGAGATCTACATGATTCACAAAAACCGTATGTGCTTTATTTTTATTTACTTTATCAGCAATTGCGCTATAGAATCTATCTGTGTGAACAAATTTATCTCATCTCTCATAAAATAGAAACTCCATGTGAGCTTTATTCAGCCTTTTCAATTTACAAGAATGGCAAGAAATTATTTGACACAAAACGAGGACATTCGAAAAGTATCATTCACTGCCTTCCAGGATTAAGAACATTTTCCATGTTTCAAATCATGTTGGGTAAGTGAATTAAATATAATGATGAGCATGTGCCATATGTAGGCATACAAATTTCCGCAAGCATCAACAAGAGAATTTTCAATGCGCATTTTGGGAGTAGCAGTCAACGCCATAGTGACCATATTGAATCATGTCCACACATTTATGCATCAACAAGCCCCGCAGTTGATTTTCCTCTCTCGTGCAAAGCTATAAAATAAATATTTAAGCATTCTGAATAAAAAGTACCACATTTTACAGGTCACAGATATGGTTGGACTCGTGGCTTTCCAAATATAAATACAAATGATTATACTGCGAATGGCATATGGCAGAAAACAATTTGGTCGGCAATAGTCAACATTCATCCGATTGCAGTTGATACATTTTTTGTACTCGGTGGATGCTTGCTGGCTCGGTCTATTTTTAATTCAATTGAAAAGTAAGTTGAGAGCCAATTTTGATGATTGAATAATTTTTTGAGGATGTTTGCTTATTCAACTCTAGAGGCAAATTTAATATTCCAAAAATGTATTTGCATCGTTACATGCGCGTGATGCCAGTTCTAGCATTTTTAATATTAATTGTGGTATCGATTTATAAAATGTTTGGTGATGGACCATTTTATGAATTTACAACGCGAGGAGCTCAAATAGACCATTGTAAACAATATTACTGGGCAGCACTGCTACACATTCAAAATTATTACAATCCTTTAGAGGGGGTAAGTTGATGAAAACTCATAAATCATAATAAAACTTTTATTATATTATTTTATGTATCTAGTGCATCCAGCCATCGTGGTATTTGAGTGCAGATTTTCATCTTGTTTTAATCTCTCCGTTGGTGATGTATCCAGCTTACAAATATGGTTGGAAATTCATGTGGATATTTCCATGCTATATAATTGGAATCGTTGCGTGGATTTTCACAGCCTCAATGATACATGAATACAAGCCAGCACGACTTTTGATGTGTGTATCATGAACAGACAAGTATAACATTTTTTGGTATCCAGGGTTGAATCTTAATTGAAAAGTGATGAAGAGCAAGAAGTTATTTAAGGAACTAAGCTTATCTTAGTAAATTAATCAGCAATGCATAACCAAAGAAAGTCATCTTTTAAAGATTAAATTCCAACCCTGACTCACAAAATTCCATTAAAATATTTTTAGGCCATCTGATGCTGGTCTGCAGTCTGCAATAGATTTTTATTTTCCCACTCACATCAGGTACGTAATGTGTAATAAATTCAGGCTTTAACAAATTCTCATGAGTTCTTTCTGAATAAAAGATGTGGTCCTTGGCTGATGGGAGTTATGCTTGGCTACACATTCTTTAAGCTGAATGGGAGAAAGATTATTGTACCTAAAGTTAGTATTTATCAAAGGATTTCACACTCAATTATTTTATAATTCATTATTTTAATTTATCATCAGCACTTGAATATTTTATTTTGGATCCTCACACTCACAACACTGATTGGAGTTCTTATTGGAATGTGGCCATTACAGAACTATGAAAATAGTCCACCTCAAGTTGTTCATGCATTATTCTTTTCATTACAACGCAACAGTTGGGGATTAGCTATAACGTGGATTATTTTTGCATGTGAAATGGGATATGGTGGGATTGTTGGGAAATTCTTAGAACTGCCAATCTGGAGACCATTAGGAAGAATGTCTTTGAGCTTTTACCTAGTTCACACTTTATACATCACAGTTCATGTTGGACGAGGACGAGTGCCTCACTTTTTTGACGATGCAACATTGGTAATTGGATTTTGATACTTAATTTTGAATCTTGTCATCTACTTTGCTTGTTCTATTTTAGTTGCACATTTATGCTGGCGATATCATTGTGTCCACAATATTGGCATCAATTCTATATTTAACATTCGAAGAGCCATTCTTGATTGTTGAAAATTATATTTACAAAAGGATTGAACAGAGAAGTGTCAAGACAAAATCAAATAAGGAAGAAGCTTAAACCAGGTGTAAAAACTTGCAATCTTTAAATCAATTGTTGATTGTTTGTAAATAAAATGTAATCAAAAAGTATTATTGAGTCTAGATTTTTAATAAGCACACGCGTGACACGTGGTTCTTAGAAATCTTTTCATTTTGTTTTTTAAAATCTTATCCAAAAAATAATTAATCATTTCCACCTACATATTTCTTAAATTTGATAAGATTTTTTTTTTCTGATGAAATTATAAGCAATATATGACCATTCCAAAAAATTTAATTCCTGAAATGATTTCAGTCTTGCTTTACTTTTCTAGGAATTCAAACATGAAAATTATTTTTCTGATTTTTGCTGTCCTTTTTTATGTCTGTAATTTTACATATGCTGAAATAAACGATGTCAAATGCGATGCACAGATTGAATATATTAATCAGGCATTAGCAAAACGAGAAAAGTGGTCAGTTGAATGTGAGCTTTGTGAATCAAAATTGTAGGAGGAATATATCAATTATTAGAAAATATCTTTCAGGGTTCGATTCATGGTCAAAATTTCAGTCAGGTGTATCTTATGGAAACTTAGTAGATTTAGGTCATTTCGATTTATGTGTTCAGTTCGTCCACAACTCGAAAGACTCGAATATCGACGTAATCAAGGGACAACATTGCATGATTTATTATCGAGCTACAGTAAATGCATCAACTCATGAAAATGATGGAATATTTGATTGGCGAGAAATGTAAGTCATCCAAGATGTCTTTCAATGGATTAATCAATATTCATTGCAAAATATTTCAGTGGATCTGCATTGCGTGAGAGAAATTTGAGATTAGGAGGTGCTGTCTGCATGCCAGCATCATGTTCAACGACTAAAATAAGACAATTTGTTAACGAGACAGTTCTTGCATCTGCTGATTTGGTTATCACAAACGATTACGATCAATCAATGTTCTGCAGTACAAATGAGCCAATTCCATTTGAAACTATTGACATTGTTGCTATGTATGTATGAGATATATCCTTGCCTCAACCACAGATAAGTCAGAAAAGGATTTAAAAATCATTTTTTTATTTGACAGAATAATTGCATCGATTTTCGTTCTGTTACTGATATCAAGCACGACATATGAGATCTACATGATTCACAAAAACCGTATGTGCTTTATTTTTATTTACTTTATCAGCAATTGCGCTATAGAATCTATCTGTGTGAACAAATTTATCTCATCTCTCATAAAATAGAAACTCCATGTGAGCTTTATTCAGCCTTTTCAATTTACAAAAATGGCAAGAAATTATTTGACACAAAACGAGGACATTCCAAAAGTATTATCCACTGCCTTCCAGGATTAAGGACCCTATCAATGCTTCAGATTATGTTAGGTAAAAGAATTGCTTAAAAGACTTTTTATAATTTTTATTCGGTAATTCAAAAAATTATAACATCGAACCACCGTAGGTCATAGGTATGAAGCCATAAGTCAACTTTATCCAAACATAAATTCAAATTACTTTGCTGTTGGTGGTCCTTGGCAAAATACAATTTGGTCAGCATTTGTCAACATTCATCCAATTGCAGTCGATACATTTTTTGTACTCGGTGGATGCTTGCTGGCTAGATCGATTCTAAATTTGATTGAAAAGTAACTTGAAATTCATTTTGAGGATTTAATAATTTTAAAGAACGCATGTTTATTCAATTACAGAGGCAAACTCAATATTCCCAAATTATATTTGCATCGTTACATGCGTGTGATGCCAGTTCTAGCGTTTTTGTTGCTGATAATAATTTCAGTATACAAAATGTTTGGAATTGGACCTTATTATAAATATATGACAGAAAGAGTCCATGTCAACAGATGTAAGATGTATTATTGGACAACATTGTTGCATATTCAAAATTATTACAATCCTTCAAATGCAGTAAGATGATTAAAAATAATGGCAATGGCTGATTCATTATAGAAACTAAATTAATTTCAGTGCATCCCAGCTTCTTGGTATTTAAGTGCAGATTTTCAACTGGTTTTAGTGACACCATTGTTAGTCTATCCAGCATATAAATACGGCTGGAAGTTTATGTGGGTTTTTCCCAGTTACATTGTTGGAACTGTTATTTTGGCATTTACAGCTTCAATGATCCATGAATATAAAACACTCAGAAATCTTATGTTTGTATCGTATCTTCCTGATACTGAATTTTTAATGTTTCCTTGATAATCTTTTTCAGGCCTTCCGATGTCAGCTTTCAATTTACAAAAGATTTTTACTATGCAACTCATATTAGGTAAGCATCTATGTTTTTAACTTCTTCCTTAAAATTAATTAAATCTCAATTGAAGATGCGGACCATGGTTAATGGGAATCATGCTTGGTTATACATTCTACAAGTTAAAGGGACGGAAACTTACTTTAAACAAAGTTAGTATGAAAAATTCTGCAATCTTGTGATTAATTTGAATTCAACCTATTTTTCTAGCACTTAATTGTTTTATTATGGACGTTATGCATAGGAACATTGATAGCTATTTCCATAGGGCTGTATCCATTGAAAAATGTCGAAAATCCTCCAAGTCAAGTTGCTCAAGCGTTGTTCTTCTCTCTTCATCGAAATAGTTGGGGATTAGCTATAATATGGATAATTTTTGCATGTGAAATGGGATATGATGGAATCGTTGGAAAGTTCTTAGAGTTGCCAATCTGGCGACCATTAGGAAGGATGTCTTTAAGTTTTTATCTTGTTCATACTGTGTATTTTAGTGTTCAAATGGGAAGATGGAGAGTTCCAAATAATTTTGATGATGCAACATTGGTAATTGAGCTTTGATTCATGATATGTCGTGTCAGCTAATTTCCTTGTTTTGTTCCAGTTGCACATTTATGCTGGTGATATCATTGTCTCAACCATATTGGCATCAATTCTTTATTTGACATTTGAAGAGCCATTCTTGATTGTGGAAAATTACATTTACAAAATGATTGAGCAGAAAAAAGTCAAATCAAAATCAAGCAAAGAATCAGTATGAACTAAACGACATCATTTATGCTTCACTAGAAAAGTTTTCAAAATCATTTTCTTGCATGGAAATTTTTTGACATCAAATTTTTCTTTATTCTTTCATCTCGTGCATGTTTTCGTGTCATTGATTTGCTTATGAAAATAAAATCTTGTAAAAAAAGTTGCATGACATGAAGCTTTTTACTTTTTTTCTCTCCAGAATATGTGAATAAACTCAACAAGCACAAATGTTGGAAAAATACTGCATGTACATTCACATAAAATATGGTAATACTTGACAAAGTGTGTTCTGATTTGTGAGCTTTGCTTAAAGCAATTTATTTCATATTTATTCAAACTATATTTTCATAAAAAAATCAACATTACTTAAATGGAACAAAAAGGAATAGTTTTATGGTGCTTACGGCAGTCTCTAATTAAATGATATAATGAGAACATTGTTATTGAGTTTGAACATGCGTGAGGGAGTTGTTTATAAACAGCAAATTGTAGCTGTAATTTTTATTGAATAATCACATCTAATTACACATTTATACTGACAAAAATGACTAAGGACATTGATTCCAAAAACTCATAAAAAATCACACAAATATTCATCTATAAAATCCCATTTTAAGGTTTAATATCGATCATTGATCTCTTCTTAAAGTGGTTGAAAATATTTTTTGCGAGTCCCCATGAAAAGAAGAAAATCAATTCTGTGAAGCCAAGTAAGGAGCACCCTTGAGAGGACAATAAATACATTAAATATTTTTGTAAAAACCATCAGCTGTGTAGCAACAAAGAGAGCTTATTTTCCATTTACCTAAAAACAGCCCTCCTAATCCACCAATGTAAACTTTTGTTGTATTCAGCACAAAAGAGGAAATAAAGTGATTTTCAAAACATTAAAGGATATTTACATATATTAGCATTTATGATAATATTTTTCATACCCAAAACATCAGACAGACCAAAAATAAGTTCACGTTTGAGTTGAAGTTTCGGATAGTCAATGATTCCCCATTGTAGATTAGCTCCCAAAAACCACACACGAGACCTCTGAAAAATGGTTTTTAGACAATTTATTTAATATTTATAAATTTCTTGTGTCCAACTTACAATTGATTGCGTAAAGAAATTTGAGTTGTCGCAATTGGCCATACAGTCGCATTCAATTTTCTTCTTGCTGGACTTCAGCGTAATAATCTCATCTAAAAATATTGGGTAAGTTTGAAATACATGGATAAATGGATGTTAAAGCGCACTTTCTGTAACTCAATTCAGAAACTAGTTTTTATGTATTTCTATAGAGTCATTCATATAAAAACCTATACATTGGACTTCTGGAACCTAGAATAGTATTTTAGAATACTTTTATGATGAAAATGGGCCCAGGATTCTTTTAAAAATGATCTTAGTCTTTAAATAAAATTCAGACATTGAACCAATCTAGTTAAAAACAAAAGCCATCGCCTTAAAATCCCCCAATATCTATAAAATGCGCTAAAACTGAAATTTATTCAATGACCATTAATTTATTCATGAAAATGTTTCTCGTTTCGTTCCAATACCTTTCATTTTGCCGATACATCTCATGCCTTCAGGTCTGCATATCGGGTATCTCCTTCCATTTTTATCTACCAATTATTTTGCATATTATATTGTTATAAAAAAGAAAGAAGGCACAAAAAATGATAGGAAGGAGATTCCTGTATTATTGTGAATGGGTTCATAATTGATATAAATACCAAGGGATCGGTAGAACCATGGAATACATTTGCATTCTTTCAGTGCCATTTTAAAGCGACACTGGCTACGACACAAATTAAAGCTGTAGATTGCACTTGTCAACAACTCTTCGCTTTCATTATCCAAACGGCAATTTCGCTGTGATGGTTTTAATCTGTTTTTGATGGAGATGAGAATGAGAATGAAAAGTAATTTTAATATATAAATGGAACTAGATTGAGCTGGAGATAAGAAAGAAAAATATCTAAATTGAATGTCAAGTGAGATTGGTAACATTAAACTTTCTTTTTTGCATCCTCCGATGTCAAAATTTCCAATGCCAAAAATTCAACTGTTGTATAATCAGTTTGTGGGAATCTGTGAACTTGTTTAGAAATGTCTGGTATTTCCATAGATGCGTGGAAAAATACACTGTAAGCTGTTGAGAGGTTCGTAAGTTGAGCGTAAATTTCACCACTAAAAATCACAAAAAAAAATCTTTGATGTGAAAATTCCAAAATTTAATTTTTGAGGCATTTACTTACTCTAGTGGATGAACAACAACAGTGATGTTAGGTTCCACCAAATCCCATCTATTGTCTTTCCAATAGTCATAGGAATTGTAATATGCAGTTTTAGTATTGACTGCATCACAAATTCCACGTTCTATTATGGAACATCACATGCATCCATGCAGATAAATGGGAAATGAATTTATCGATTAAAATATTTTCATTTCACATAGTTTGCAGCTGGGGTTGTTCATAAATGACGTTCGCATAATTTTTCTTCTTAATTTGTACAATTAGAATTGTTGGAAATCATAGATGAATGACCCCCCAACTCAAACTGCTGGTGCATCAAGCTGATTTCAGAAATATTTTAATAAAATATTAATTTTTTTCCTACCTGTAATTATTCTCTGCAATATTAATTTATTCGACGTTCCGGATGATATTTCAGGATGAAATTCCCATTTCAAATCACTCATTAATTTTAAATATTCATCAGGTTTAATATTCCCTTCAATTCCCAATGGGAAGTCACTCATTGTCTCATACGAAATCAACGATAGATTTTTAATGAAATTTCTTGCATTTTCCTTTGAATCGTCTGTTGGAAATTTTAATGGATTCGCTTTCAAATAGTCCTCAAGCTTATCATCATCGATTTTTTTATCCGAACAAACAGTCACTGAAACAAAAATAATTTAATTTATAATGATTACATCAAATCATTTACTTTTATTCATCGTACGACTAGGAAATGATGTATTCCACGCAAATTTTGATCGATCCATTGTTATGACAGTGGGTGATGTCTGATAACGATGCCATGTATCAGATCCTAATTCAATAATTCCATAAAAACCCACAATTATGCATACCAACCAGATTAATCGCTCTAAGATGTTATTGCCACGCTTCACTAAGAATATAAATCCATGAACCGATATTTCATGAAAGCTTTCGACAATCGTCCTTCGTACTTGTTTCAGAATATCCATTTTGAGTTGACAACTTGAAGATTTTCTTTATATTAATGACATGATGGTAGCATGCACTTCCATATATACCAAGTGATGGCTCAAAATGATATGATGGAAAATTGGATAATTAATAAGCAGTATGAAAAATTCATTAGGACATGCTTGCACAGATGCTTACATACATGATGTAATTAGTTTTAATAATGTTCATGGAGTATGAATTGAGTTGTACATGTAAGATATTAAGGAGATTGTTGCCTGTAGATTGTTTACTTTATGAAAATTATTTATGGAAGTAGCATTGGTGCCGCTTATTTGATGAAAATTCTATGACATGAGGAATGGCTAGGTTTTATTTATAGTTTAAATATTGATGCCAGACACGTCATTAATCTTTTTAGATTGATATGAATTAGAATCACAATCTCATTCCACCCAAACCATTTAATCTCGAATCTTTCATCATTTTTGAATCAAAATGACATTTGGTATTTTAAGTGACTGCTTTACAGACATACACAAATTCAATAACAAATTCCACAAGTGAGCATCACATTGTTTCCAATTGACCTAGGCTTGTATTCGCATAAAAAGTGTTTACATTCTCATTCTCATTTTAAAGCATGCTTGGAACTGAGTTGCTAATACTTTTTTACTCTCTTTCTTCTCTTCCTTTACTTATCTTGTTAGAACTCCACATACATATTTTTTGATAATATTTACTCAACGCTTTTGTATATGATAAATGTTTACAAGTATCAGTGTGCTATTAAACTTCAAACATTGAGCATCTAAAAGTATGAGTTCTCAAGAGAATCAATTGACTGAATTTCTCAATTCCGATTCATTAAATGATGACTTTTTTAGTGATATTGTAGCAAATAAATTGAATATTCCAAGGAATGACTTTAAAGTGAAACTAGTGTTTATCACACCAGCAACTGGAAAGAATGACAATTATGCTTCGCTTGTATTGAGATCTAAAATAAGAATTCAATATCTTCAGATTGATAAAACTGAGTTGATTGATGTGATTATTAAAGCGTCACAGACAAACTATGATGAGATCAGTGAATTCACTGTTTTCGAACGTGAGAAATTTATGTACGAGAATCCAATTAAGACATTTGAAGCATTATGGCTTGAAAAAGCTGGAGAAGAAATTTATTTCGGACCAAAAACATACAAATTCACAAAATCACCTTACGAAATCATTGTGATGGATGACCTTATGGCAGAAAAATATGAAATGCTAGACAGGAAGGAAGGACTGTCGCTAGAACAATCAAAAATATTTTTAAAGAAATTAGCAAAGTTTCATGCTGCAGGTGCTGTCTGTTTTCAAAAGGTAAGAATTAACTATCCAATTCGAATTAATTCAAACTTCTTTATTCAAAAGGATGGAACGCTTGATGATTGTCTAGATCGTAACTGTCTGTCCGCACCTAAACCAGACATCAATAATCCGTTTACTGCTGTGTTTATTCGGATTTTCGAAGAATATATGAAAGTATTGAGAACCTATGGTGATTGTGACTTTTATGCTGATAAAATTTCCAAATGGGATAAATTCTTCGTAGCTACATGCTATTATTATGAATCTAAACCAATGAAATGTGGATTACAGGTGTTGAATCATGGCGATGTTTGGACGAATAACATAATGTTTAGGTTTGATCCACTTGAAGTTTTACTGATTGACTACCAGTTATGCTTCTGGGGATCACCTACATATGATATTTGGTTGTTCCTCATTTTATCTGTTCAGGATGAAATCAAGGCAGAAAAGTTTGATGAACTTATTGAGTTTTATTATCATGAACTCTGTGAGTCGTTGAAAAAACTTGATTATGATCATCACATACCTAGTCTTGATGAGTTCAATGAGGATATTATGGACAAGGCTCATATTGGTATGTTAATGATTCCTGTTAATGAACTAATCTTTATAATTTCTCAATCAAAAATCAAGGCACATCATTTGTTCCAATGCTATTCTTTGCAAAGTATTCATCAACTGTAGATTGGGATATGGAAATTTTGATACGCGAGACTGACGAAACTGTGTTATCAAAAATCTATGGAGCAATTTTTAATGATCCAGTGTTTATCAAAGCAACAAAAAGTTGGCTCCCGTTTTTGGAGCAACGAGGATTTTTGGATTCGTTGATTCTAAAATAAAATAATTTTTTGTGATGATAACTTTGCGACATCAAAATAAATTTAATGATGAACTTGATATTTAATCAATTTTAGAAATGGATGTGTTTGTGTAAATGCCCTTTTATGCATAATAAAAGATAAGTATCCAAAGCTCTAACAGCTCAAAATTTACTCACTTACTGATTAAAAATAGATTTTTCTTCTCTCCTAAAATTTCTCAAAACTCTCAGTGTTTCCAAAAATTTCGTATTGAGCACATCAAAAATAATTTTTGAATTCCTTAAAAAAATGTCTACACAGGAAAAGAGTTTTGAAAACTTATTAAATGGTGACTCAATTGATGATGAATTTATCAACGGCATTGTGGCGAATAAATTGAATGTTCCAAGTTCAAGTTTCAAGGTCACATTAGTTCTAATATCGCCAGCGACTAAACCAAATGAAAATTATCTTGGTCTCGTGTGTCGCACGAAAATAAAAGTTCGTATGCTTGAAACAAATGAATTTAAAATTTTAGACGTGATTGTTAAAGTTGCTCAGGAAATGACTGAGTCACTCGGTGAATTGAATGTCTACCAACGAGAAAAGATTATGTATGAAAATATTCTGAGTAAATTTGAAGGTTTTTTGTTTGATAAGCTTAGTGAGAAAGTTCGTTTCGGTCCAAGTATGTTGATGTTTAAAAATGAACCAAGTCCAATTATCGTTTTGGATGATCTAAAAGCAGAAGGCTATTCAATAGTTGACCGAAAAGAAGGTCTTTCATTGGAACAGGCTAAAAGTTTCTTGTCTAAATTAGCATCGTTTCATGCTGCAGGAGCTAAAGTATTACAATCGGAAGGGATGCTTTTCGACTGTTTTGATCGAAACAATCCAAATGCACCTAAAAGCAATCCTGAAGATCCTTTAGCAATTGCTTTTGTTCGTATGCATGAAGAGTTTGTGAGTGCATTGAAAAGCTATGGAGGATGTGATGAATATGCTAATAAAGTTGAGAAATGGGATAGAGATGTTCTTGCTGCAGGCTATATGTATGAATCAAAACCTATGAAATGTGGTCTTCAAGTATTGAATCATGGAGATGTATGGACTAATAATATGATGTTTAAGTTAGATACAAATGAAGTTTTAATAATTGATTATCAATTATGCTTCTGGGGATCTCCTTGTTATGATCTCCTTTCATTCCTTACTGCATCTGTTCATGATGATGTCAAGGTAAAGCATTTTGATGAGCTTGTTGAGTTTTATTACCGAGAATTTACTAAAACATTGGGAATGCTTGAATATTCAAACCATATTCCAAGTCTTGATGAACTTAAGGAAGATATTATGGATAAAGGATACATTCGTAAGTACATATTAATTTTTTTGAATCTTTCAACATAGTTTCATTTGATAAATAGTTGCAGGATTCCTGATATTCCTGTTTTTTGCAAAGTATTCATCACCAAAGGAGTTTTCATTTGACATGCTTATGTTTGAAACAGATGAAGATGTTTTAAGAGAACTTTACGATCGATTATTCCAAGATGAATATTTTGTAAGAGGTGTTAAAACTTGGCTTCCATTCATGAATGAGCGAGGATTTTTGGACATTTTGATTCCTTCAAAATAAAATTCTTGACTTTATTGTAAATAAGGGGATTTGAAGATTGCATTAATAAATAACTTAAATAAATTAACAGTCTTGAAAAATTATATAGCAACTTACTTACAGTCACTATTGCCGAGAGTAACATACCAAATGAAAAGATCATAAACTATAAAAATCACTCAAAAATAAACAAAATAAAAGTAGATGTGTGTGTATAATCAAGATAATAATTTAAACAATATGATGTGATCGTGTCACTCACGTGTTATAAATAGACAGAATTTTCTCTCATAACTCTCAGTGATTCGCGGAATTCAGACCTGAAAGCATCAAAAATATTTTAAAACTATGAGCGGACAAGAAGATCCATTTGATAGCTTATTAAAAAGTGATTCAATTGATGATGACTTTATTAACGGAATCGTTGAGAATAAATAGAATATTTCAAAATTAGGCTTCAAGGTCATATTAGTTCTATTGACCCCAGCAACAAAACCAAATGAAAATTATCTCGGTATAGTATATCGCGCGAAAATAAAGGTTCGATTACTTGAAACAAATGAAAAAAAAGTTTTAGATGTGATTATTAAAGTTGCACAGGAAATGGCAATGTCACTCAGTGAATTGAATGTCTATCATCGGGAGAAGATCATGTACGAAAATGTTTTGACTAAATTTGAAAATATTTTATTCAATAAACTTGGCGAAAAAGTTAAATTCGGTCCAAAAATGTCAATGTTTAAGTATGAACCAAATCCAATCATGGTTCTTGATGATCTTAAGGCAGAAGGGTATGAAATAGTTGAAAGAAAAGAATGTCTTTCTTTAAAACTTTCAAAGTGCTTTTTAACAAAAATTGCTAAGTTTCATGCTGCAGGAGCTAAAGTTTTACAAACAGAAGGAATGCTTTTCGACTGCCTTGATCGTAACAGCCCAAATGCTGCAAAACAAGACAATGAAAGTCCTTTGTCTCTAACATTTCTCCGGATGCATGACGAATTTATAAAAGCATTAAGAAGTTATGGAGGATGTGATGAATATGCTGATAAAGTTGAAAAATGGGACAGAAATCTCCTTGCTACTGGCTACTTGTATGAATCTAAACCAATGAAATGTGGTCTTCGAGTCTTGAATCATGGAGATGTCTGGACTAATAATATGATGTTTAATTTGGATACAAATGAAGTTTTATTGATTGACTATCAGCTGAGTTTTTGGGGATCACCAGCCTATGATATTCTTCCATTCCTGGCTGCATCGATTCATGATGATATTAAAGTAAAGCATTTTGATGAACTTGTTGAATTTTACTATCAAGAATTATCAGAATCTCTAAGGAAATTAGACTATTCAGATCCTATTCCCAACTTTGAGGAATTTAAGGATGATCTAATGGAAAAGGGATTCATTTGTGAGTAAAACTTTAAAATGCTTGTCCATCTGTATAAAATGTCTTTTAATGCAGTTGCAGGATTCTTAGAATACTTGTTTTTCGTAAAAACGACTTCTGGATTTTCATTTGACATGTTAATGTTTGGAAAAGATGAAGAAGCTTTACAAGAAGTATATAATCGACTATACCAAGAAGAAGCTTTTGTAAAAGCTGTTAAAGTGTGGCTTCCATTTATGAATGAACGAGGATTTTTAGATGTTTTGATTCGTTCTTAATCTGTAATTCAATGAACAAATTTGGAATTTTTAAAGCAAAACTAAAATAAAGGAAGCAATAAACAATTGTTGTTAATTTTTAAAATAAAATTTATTCCTGACATCCGATTTAAACAAAGGATTTTTGTTAATCAGTTACCTATTTAGAGTTTCGCAACAATTTATAGCCCACATGTGGCTTTGGAACTGTAATCGACTTAAATGTCTGCGTTGATTTGTAAACAATTTTATCATAAAGTGTCTCCTTATCGACTGTTTTTGTTTGTATATCCTCTTCATCATTATTTGATTGACTTAGATCAGAGCTTTTAAATGAACCGAAAATCTTTGAGATAATTTCAGTAAACATTATCGTGCCAATTATTATTAATACTGTCCCAATCCAATGGATTGCGGTGAAAGGATGTTGAAAATAAATAATTGAAAAAATTAGAGATGCAAATTTCCGCAGCGTTACAACCATCGTAACAGTCAGTGATGAGCATTCTGTTGTTAGAATATAGACGCACTTAACACAGAAGTAATGAGATATAAAGTTTATCACAAGATATAAAATCTGTATTCGTATTGAAATATTTAGCGGTGCAATGATAAAAGCATCTGAATTTGCAGCAACAATCATGTGGTTCCAAATATTCTTTCCCATCAAGAAAAATGCGGGTAATGCAAGCACATGAGTATAAAACAAAGCTTCATTTGGATGCTTTCCTCGCTTCTTATACATCACTTCTTGATAAATTCCCATTCTTGCTGATATGAATAATGCAAGTGACAGTAAGAGAACTCCAAACAGCCACCAGAAGAATGAATCATTTTTATCACTTTCAGCATTTTGCACCTGAGATTTTTTGACGTCAGATCCCGATGCAATTGTGCTTACGAAAATTCCTAATGTTATTAGCACTACTGACACGTACTTCCAAAAATCATAAGATTTGTTCAGAATAATGATTCCTAAAATCATATTAGCCATTAATGAACCTGATCGGAATATCATTTGTAAAGGCACAGAAATATGAAAATTAAGTGCATAATTGTTTAATACACTTGATAAGAAAAACATTGTGACTAGTAATACATAGTCTTTCATCGGTATATTAGGTTTAACTGTGAAGAACTTCGATGTGAATATGAGACCATAAAGTGCGATAAAGAAAAATTGAAGAAATGTGATGAGATTCCCAGATCCTGAGTCATATCTACAAAGAAATTTGTATAGCTTAATATTTTGATTAATTTCGAAGTAAATTGTATGTTATCATACCTCACAGCAAACTCGAGATATAGGGCATCTAAACAACATCCAAGAAGGACACCAGCAATAGCTATTGCCGCTTTGTAATTCATAATTATTTAACTTTTTTTGCGCAATTCCTATTGAACGTGGCAATGCATTTTATGGCAAAATTAATTCTAACTTGTTACACCTTTACAGTAGAATGTCGTGTTTGATACTAAAAAACTTTATAGTATTGTCAACTAAAGTTCTTTGATAATAAAAAAATAAGTTTTGCAAGGGGTGGCAAAGCTTAGTTTTAAATCCATCAAAAAAAGTGTTCACACCTAATTCAAGTCTGACTCAAAGACGTCGCTAAGAGGTCCTTGTAGGGTCAAAAGTTCCTTATTTTCCTGCCTATGCTCCTGGCAAGTCTCTTAATAATTAAATAAACATTCGATAAAAAAAAATTCATTCATTAGTTTTATCAGTTCATGAAACTGACAATTTCCTATCCCTCGATACCAACAATGTGTAGAAACAGCTGATAAGAGAATAGTAAAGTAATGAACAAATTTAATATGTTTTTTTATAGTGATAACACAGTAATACATTTAAACTTTTATATGTGTGGAAAGGTATTTTAAATTACAAATCATTGATAAAAGTGATAAGCAACATGCTTACTTGAGCATGAAATACATGTGTTGATTTTAGTAATAAAACCAAGCGGTTCAAATTAAATACTGATAATGTTAAACATGTTTATTGAAAATTCAAACATTTGAGTTTGTCATGTTGGACGTTCGGCGTTGTATATTGTAATTTTTGAGCTATAAAATGTCGAGTTAACTTAAAATCTCATTAAAATTTTAGTATTTTAAGTTTGTGGCCTTATTAACGAATAATTTTAAAAATCAAGGCTGCTGACCACCGAGTCGAGTTTATATAAGTCCTGAATTTAATTTTGCTTCCAAATATCGCAATTAAAGGAAGGAAGAGTTGGGGATAGAGCCATCCAATCCTAATCAAATTGAATTTCACCCTCGTAATCATAAGTTTAACGTCAGAAATGAACAATTTAGTTCACATTTTAAAATCCAATTTATTCTGTGCAATACTGTCAGCAACACTGCATATGCTTAAAAAACCTGAGATATTCTTTAAATCACTAACAGCTTTTAGCACTTTTAAGTTAAATATATTGAATTTCTCTTACAAAGTTGCAGTTTAACATATCCCATGCATTAATACCAAGAAAAGTAATCAATCAATGTAGAATGTCTCTTGAAAGAGTGAAACATTGTAAAATAAGCAATCAACAACTTGATGGAATGCATGTAAAATGTTTTTCTGATTTTTTTGAAGACACATGTGTTTTTTTTAAACTTGAAAATTTTATTTCAGGAGTTCGTCATTTTATTAAGGTCAACATTATTTTGGATAAAGGTTCGTACGCTGATGACTAAGCTTTAATTTTAGAGAAGCTATAAAAATCATCAAAATAAAAATGGAAGGAAGCTGATCTTCCCTATGAAGCTATCATTTGGTTATTAATATTAGTTTCAGCTCATTCATCCATAAAAGGTCAACAAAGTTCTTAAAAGCACTCAAAAAATTCATCAATCGTATACAAAATGAGAAGTCAATTGCACAATCTCTCATCATTCAATGTCCATTAAAGTAAATGAATATTTTGAGCATCATAAAGTATCGCAATATTCTGATTCATCTCTATAGCTCACATGCATGCGTAAATAAAATTTCAATTAGTTTGATTATACACTCAGACATGAACACAATTCTATGTTGTTCCGATTTTTCAAATTTCAATTAATCTAGCACTCATCATGGATATGCTATGCGGCTATAAAATTGCATTTGTGATATGTTTGTATGTTTTTGAGTCTATCTCTATATTCTCACATTCAGTTCTTTGATTTCTACGAAAAACTCAGTCTCGTTTTTCAATCAAAAATTTCAATTTTTGGCTTATCGACGTAGCAATAAAAGTTTGAGGAATTGATGCAATAGATTCATAATTGAAACACAATTGAGTATGAAATTTATTTGTGTCAGGATTTCCTTTATTGCCTTTACAAAAATTGGAAATTGCCAATCCTTCTATACATCATTCAACAAGTGCCGTAGATTTTTCAATTTAAATAAAATTTTAAAATCATGCAGCAAAACATCCACATTAATCTACAGAACTGTTGATTAATGGATGAGATCCATTAACATAATAAATGATTTTTCCACACTTTTCACATCATTCAACAACATCTATATTCAATGGTTATCGTAAATGCAAAAATGAGGAACAGATGAAAATCCGATTACATTAACTCAACATCATGATAATTATACGTGTGGTTTGCTTGCCAAAACATTCGACAGACATTGTTTTATCAGGAAAAAAAAAACTTTACGACCGCTCTACTTTTATGACGCTGTAAATTTTATTCGTAACTGCATTACTGGTTTCCTAATACTAGACTAAAGTCGTAGTTTATGTTTTGCTAATATCGTATAAAAGATAATTTTAGTATTTCATGTAAATTGAAATTTAATGTTTATCGAGAAATCAGGAACGTAGTTGTTGGAAAAGTATGGAAACTGATAAACACCCCTGGGCTACAATTAATAAGAAAAAAATTATTACTTTAAGTTTATGTTCTTCTTTCGACTAGATATTCTATTGTTCCTATGTTTAAAGGGCTTGTTGAATTTGATAAAGTTTTCTAAGATATCAGGAGCCTATTAAATGCTCTATCTAAGAATTGTAGAACTCAAAAAGTAATCCAATTCTTGTGCTCATAAGGAAATTGATGGATATAGAATTGTTTATAGGTAGCATCCACTGTTAGGACATTTTCCCAAAAATACAATCCAATATTGCAAATGACCGACAAGATTAATGAAATTCACCGGATACGACAGCCCCCAGGTATGTATTTCGATAATGGAAAACCATTTGGATGTTGAAAGGTAAAAAAATTATTTCGTGTATTTTGTGGATTAATTTTTATTAATAACTGTAATCGATAAGCATTCATTCTGTTCCTTTATTTCTACTTTTTTTTGTGAAATTCAATAAAATAATTCTGTTCGTATTTTCCAAGATTAAAAGACTATTCAATATCAGGATTAACAAATATCAAAAGCTTTTATTCATACAGCAATGAATTTAAAATATGTAGACGGCATTCAATGAACAAAAATATGCAGAATATTTGAAAAAGTTTATTGGATATTTTAAGAACAGCCAGAATATTGGTATGAGAGCATGTATTTATTTTTGATTGAATGAATTTTGACATAAAATAAAATAGGAAATAAAAACAACTTTTACATTCTTAAAGCATCTACATTTCTACTCCAAACATCATCCATTTCGTATGTACAATTTTTGCTGCCATTCCATAAACAATACTTCAATGAAACATGAAAAAGCTAGTTTGAAGTAAGTATGAAGTGATTTGGGAAGGAATCTCAAGTGTATTTCAATGTTTGTGAAGCCAATCGAGTGGCTATTGTAGAATGTCAACTTGTCAGCTCAGCAATATGTTTTCATTTCTGAATCATAAAAAACAATAAAGGTAACATATCTCATAAAAGTCAAATTTTCAATTCAATTTTTAAGTTTAAGTGATTTTGTTTGTTTTTTTGTGGATGAAATCAAAAACAAATATTGCAATATATGCAGCATTCGATAGATTTGTGACATTATGTTTTTTAAAAAGAAGTTTGTGGCAATTGCTTTAGACAGGATTGGTGAAACTTTTGTTTTGAAATGTTTGGAATGATTATGAATGCTTAGGATTTTTCTCAAAAACATCCAAGAACCTAGTCAACTATATGAAGCAGTGGTAGTTTAATTCTAATGAACTGGCGATCTCAGACAAACTAGATATCCTATCAATATATTGATACCTTCTAGTATACCATCACAGACACTGACTCAAACATTGTTCACAACTGTCGAAATACCGTCCACAAATTCCATACACATTTTGGTTTGTAACATTTGAATATGTAAAATTCTGCAGCACTTCAAAGTACACAGCACAAAAACATGATGAAAATGGTTGTTTGCTATCTTTTGGATATTTCACTACGTTACGTTCGAATAAGTTTCAATTTGATTCTTGCTTGTTTGCATAATATCATTTGATGCAATATACTCAAAAAAATATTGAGTAGCTTACAAGAATGCTTAAGAAATAGACAAGTTTTTGATGGCATTAAGTCAGAAAATGATGCCAAATTGCTTTGAAATTTTTTTATATTTTTTAAATTGAAGTTTTTGAGAAAAATTGAAATTTTATGATGAAAAGTTTTCTTGAGCACTTAAATTTATGAGTTTCTTATTCATGGAATTCAAAGAGTTTTAATGATATCTTACTCAAAATGAAAAAAACTCAATTTGTAACTCAAAAGTCATAAAGCACTACGCTTTATTATGAAAGTATTTAAAAGCTGTTCACGCCATTAAATTTTCTCTGTTTTTAATTTTCAAATAACATGCTTCACATGTGCTACAATTAGAGATGTTATTATAAGCTTAATTTACAGCATACTTGTTGAATATTTTCCTAGCTTTTATGTATGAACATTCTATAAACATTTTAATCCTTAAAGTGCTTTTTGTAGCTTCCTTTTTCACTTCTATGGATTTCAAAGAATTTATAAAGTGTGATGATCTTAATGATAGTTCCTTCTTCTTCCTCATTTACTACAATCTAGTGTCTTTCTTCCTTTGTCTCAAGTGAAATTGATTCCATTTCTTATTGATGCATCCAATTAATTTTACAACGGAATGAAGACATTTTTTACTGTCATTGGATTTTAAAGCTACTTCAAATTCCTTCTTGAAACGAGAAAACTTTTTATTATGCTATATTTTCTGTAAAAACACAACTTAAGATAGTTAATTAAATTAATCAATGTCTTGATTAAGTGACATTCATTAAATTTAATTGAATTTCTTTTTCTTTTGAATAGTAAAACTGTTTATAGCAAAAAATTTGTGACTTTTAAAAGCTAATGAGAGTCAAATTATGTTGACGATGATGACAAATGTTCATCAAAAAGCTATCTTTCTGTAACAAATTCCTTTCATTAACTGCTTAAGGTTGTTTAAAAAATTATTTTAATGTCAATGAATGGATGAGTGTTGGGGATTTATCAAGGCAAGGGTTTGATGGGAGTCTTTGTTCCAAACGACTTTAAGAAACATTAATCAGTTCCATATAAACTTAACTGCATTCCTGGAGTTATTTACAATAAGAATATCCCTTAATTCAACATTTCATTAAATAGCTGGAAATAAATAAATTTACTCAGCTTTTATTGCAGCAAATTAGAAATAAAGTTATTAAAGCGGATTAAGGAGCACTTGAATACAAATTTTCAAGATTTATTGCTATT